GTGAGAAAAGTGTCTGGGCTGGGCGTGCTGGCTCACACCTATAATCCCAGCACTTTGGGAGACCAGAGCTGGAGGATCACTTGCGTCCAGGAGTTCAAGACCAACTCGGGCAACATGGCGAAACCGTGTCTCTACAAAAAATACAAAAATTAACTGGGTGTGGTGGTACATGCCTGTAGTACCAGCTACCTGGGAGACTGAGGCTGGAGGATTGCATAAGCCCAGGAAGTCGAGGCAGCAGTGAGCCATGATCATGCCACTGCACTCCAGCCTGGGCAACAGAGTGAGGCCTTACCTAAAACAAACAAACAAACAAAAAAGAAGAATTAGGAAATATTAGTTGTGTTAAGCCACCTAGTTGTCTTACTTCATTTTAGCAGCTCTGAGAAGCGAATGCACCCTGTCTCTGGGCTTGCTTCTCCAATCTGTCCTTCACCAAGTCATTTTCTGCTCCAAACTCATTGGTGGTTCCTCACTGACCCCTGGAACATCATGGATGCTGGCGGCATCCCCCATCTAACCAGTTCCAACCCAAATCCTGGCTCTTGCCTTTCTCTCTTTTGCTCTTTCCCACTGCATTTTATGGCACACCTGACAGTCACTCAGGTCAAAGGTTAGCCCAAGGGCTATTCCTGAGTCCTCTCCCTCATGTCTGCATCCAATCCAGGGACAAATTCTTTCATCTCTACCTCCAAAATGCATTCTCGATAATTTCCTTCTACCATGGTCACCTTACTTTAAGCCTCCAACCTTCTCTTCCTTTAACTGCACACTAGTCTCCTGTATAGGCTGATTGCAGAATTGTCCAGTCTTGTACTACTCCCTGCATCCAAGCTCTCTGAAACTCTTCCCTTCTATAGGTACAGGTCATTTCTCCATCCTTGACTTTGAGCTGACCTTGGGACTTGTGTTAGTCACTGAAGACTAGAGTGAGGTGAGAGTGATTGTGCACCATTTCTGAGCCTAGTACTCAAGAGACCTTGTGCACTTCTTGGAATGCTGCCCCCATGAGCACAGCCCAGGCTAGCCTGTTCGAGGAAGACCTGAATGAAGCAGAGGCCAGCCAGCCCAGGCAAGGCCGCATTAGACCAGCCAGACCCAGTTAACCCACTAGCTGACTACAGACATGTCAGTCCAGGCTAGCTCAGCTGAACCTGGCCAAGATCAGAGATGCTCAATTGACCAGTGGAATCATGAGGATTTCTGTTGTTTTAAACTATATTTTAGGGATTATTTGTTACACAGCTATAGCTGACTGATATACCTTCATACTTATCTCCAGGCTTTCTCTTTCTTTCTCACAGAGCATTTTCTCCTCTCAGAAGCCAGAGGGGCCTCTCCTGTACTTAATGCCCTCCAACATGATTTTCTGCTGCAACTAGAATTATCTCCAAACTATAGCCTTCAAGGACCATAGCCTTCAAGGCCTGACCTGATCAATTCTCCCAACTCTCTCCTTTCCTCACTCTGCCTCCACCACACTGACCTTCCTGCAAGTCCCATGAACATGCGCTGGCTTTCGCCATCCCCCTGCTGCAGCTGTGCCTCCAGGTCTGCTCATGGTGGCTTCTTCTCATCTTTCAGGTACCAACACAATCACTTATTCCAGGAGGCCTGCCCTGACCACCTTGCCTGAAGCCACCTTCTCTTACCCTCCTCCCAGTCACTTTTCTTGCATTCCACTCTGCTTTCATTTTCTCATTACTTGCAAAATCTTTGTCATTACTTGCAAAAAAAAAAAAAAAAAAAAAAAAATTTTTTTTTAAAAAAAAAAAAAAAAAAAAAAAAAAAAAGCCTTTTGCTAAAGTACATATTATTTGTGTCACCAACTAGAACATAAGCTTATCAAAGCAAGAATGTGTATTTTTATTCACTGCTGTGTCCTTAGTAGTTTATAACAGTTTCTGGCACATAGTAGGTATTCAGTAAATATTTGCTAAATGAATGAGTAACATCCCCAAGTGGGGGTGAGGGGAGCCTTGGTCATGAAACCACAAGCCCTTTGAGCATGGGATCTCCTGCCACTGTGCTCCTTGCTAATCGTCCACTCCATGCAGATTGACCTACCTACAGGTTTCCCACCATACCACGCTGCCTCTGTCATCTGAACCTTTGTACGTTCTGTTCCCTCTGTCTGCTCTTTCCTCCTATATAAAGATCCTGGATACTCCTATTTATCCTTAAAAGTGTTACATTAGACATCTCCTCCTTCAAGAAGTTTTTACATCATCTGCTGCTCCCAGCCCACAGTGAAGGGCCTCCTCCCCCTGTTCTCTCAGGACATTTGATTCCCCACACCTTACTCATCACATGGTGCTTTAAACAGCTGGTTATTCCTCTGTCTTCAGGACTATACACCCCATGTGGGCAGGACCAGGTCTTCTTAATGACTGCATCCCTGGACTCCCATAGAGGCAGGGATGACACACCCATAGGTGGGTGCTTAGTAACTAAGTTATGGCTGACTGTCAGGATTGAGGAATATGACTGGAGGCCAATGGACTACAGGAGCTCAGGATGTGCCCTTTCTTTGACTGCACATCAACAGAAACCTGCGAAAAGTCAGGGCCAGCATGGGCCCTGAGTGGATGTGGAGAAGCTGAGAGCCGATGCAGTGTTGGGATCACACAGATCCTCCTGCTACTACTAACCTCAACACTCCACTAAGTGAGGAGAGCTCCTGATTAAGGCCAGGATGTTGGCATCTCCCTCAGCTTCTCTGTGACATCAGAAGGGCTGGGCTTCCCTTTTTCTGAATACCTTTCTACACATGGGGCTCCTAGTGAGTTGTGGAGGAATAGAGCTTGGTGTATGACTCCAGTTCTTCAGGGAAGGATCCAGGGGTCTTAGTGGACCACAAGTATAGCACATCACCCGTATAATATACTTGGTGAAGGAGAAAAATGAATACATAAAATATACATGCCACTTTGAAGTCAGTCCTTATTATAAGAAAGGAATCCAGCCACTGGCTTCATGGCTTATTCTGGGTCCATTTTTGGCTATTGCATTTTTAAGAGGGACGTGCTAAGGATACCACAGAGATAATCAAACTGAATTGTATCACAGAAAACTGTGGGAAAAAGTCTGAAAATGAAATGGCTAAATAGCCACTGTCATATTACATCGCTACGGTTAATATATCTGACATTTAACTTTTCAGGGCCATTTTATCTGTGGTTTAATGTGTTCCTCATCACTAGTCCTGCCTGACTATGAATATTTGCCAGCCAATGAAGGCTGCTGACTTCTCCCCTTCCACACTGCCTGGAATGAGAGGAAACAGCCTCAAATGGCAGCAATGGAGAAGCACAGCAGACAGTCGGAGGACTTCCTGAAGGCAAGGCTTTCAGTGCAGAATAGAGGTTGGCTGTGCTCTCCCTGGCTGCCCAGTCTGTGATACTGAAGTGAAGGCCTCTGAGGATGCTTTCAGGTTTGATTTTGGTTGAGGATATTGACCAAGTGCCTAACACTTGTGATGCTCAAAAAATTCATTTCCTTTTCCCTTTGTGAAGTGCCATTTCTCCGCAAGGGACAGGTATTTGCTGGAGGGAGGGAGTATTACTTAACCCTTAGCAGCTGTTTCCTTGGATTCTGGCTTGAGTCTCACTGTAGTTCTGTCTAAACACAGCTTGCTGGCCTGTGGGCTCACGCTTCTCCGGACTGCTCGCTCATTAGAGGGGTGTTGTATTCCTTAATGGTGACTGTACCCCTGAGGTGGGCTGGCATGGGGTGGGGGAGGGTCGGTCTGGCAGACTCCAGGGCCTCTCTTTGAGCCCCAGTGGTAATGACTTTCAATGGAGAAAGCTACTTACCTTTAAGGGATCATTTTAGAATCTCAGGGTGGGATATGAAAATCTAAAAGCATGTGGAAGGAAAATCTCTGCTATTTCAGTATACGGAGTCAGAGAGTAAAACCTGCTAACAAGACCAGCTGGGGCAGTGGCTGCCCAGCGGAGATTCTCAATGGGAGTCTCTCTGGGATGTGTCTTGGGGCCCAGGGATCATTAGATGTATGGGCTTGCAATGAGGAGATGTAGGTTTGGTATTAGCAGCTTTTCCACAGGGATTGATGTGCCTGGTTTTGAGGATCCCTCTCAGAAAAGCAGCGGCTGGAAAATCAGCTCCTCATCTACCCCAGCGAACTACGTAACAGCCCATATTTGCGTAGAGTTCTCGGCTGTCACTGACTGTGCTCCGGGCTTCACATGCCAGCTCTCATGAGCTCTTCACAGCACCCTGCTCAGCACATACTGCCATTAACCCCATTCTACAGGCGAGGAAACAGGCACAGAAAGGTGAAGTAACTTGCCTAAAGTCACACAGCTACTAAGTAGGATACTCGGGATTCAGACTTGCTTGAAACACTTGCAAGGACTGGAAGTGCCTGAGTTTGTGACCTTGGTTGGCCCACATGCCCAGATGGGAAGGCTGTGTCTCCGGAGAGTCCTGCAGGATTGACCACAGTCATGCAAGAGAGCAGGGCAGGGGACTCGGGGAAGATACTTTTTCATCTCAACCCTGCCGTTTCTCGCCCATGTGACTCTGAGCAAGTTTCTTGCCCTCTGTGGCTTCTTTCCTTCAAGTGAATAAGGTCCTGAACTTGCTGATATTGAGGCACCTACCAGCTCTGAGAGGTTTCAGGTCCCCTTTTGGGGTCTGTGGTTGTAAGCACCCAAGGGTCTCCCTTCCTTCCTCCATATGTTGATAGCATCTCCTCCCCTGGTCAGCACCCTTCTGCATACCAGGCCAGGTCCCCACAAATCCAAGTCCTACACCTGGACATGGGGCACATATGTGTGGCCCCACCAGCCCCTTTACTCTTTGTCCTTTCTAATGTCCCTCTGGGGACCCTGAGACCCCCCTTTTTTTATTCCTTCTAAGACATCCTTCCTAAGAAGCCCTTTCTAAGGAGTCTTCTTTTGGTCGGGAGAAAAACTATAGTTTCTCCTAAGCTGGTTCTGATCTGGATGTCAAGGACCAGTCTGACAGCAGAAGAGTGATCATGCAGCTGAGGCTTGTTTCCTGATTGCTTACGTTCTAGAGGGATGCACTAAGTTGGAAGGGCCACTTGTAGTGTGCCAGAGGATGGGATCTGGAGGCAAAGATTCCGATGCCAGAAGGAGCCTGAAGGTGGTGGCGAGGGGAGCTATTTAGAGGGCCACACTGGGTATTCCGGTGAACACCTTTTTAGCGTCTATTTCCCCTTCGACCATGTGGGGATGGATGTCCACGTTCATTCCTGCATCCCTGCACAGCTTGAGCAAGGTCCGAATGTTCTCCTTGGACAACCTCAGGTATCTGTTCAAGAGAAGGCCAAAGAGGTCAGTTGAAGGTGGAGTCACAGCAGCTTCTAACTTTATTGCAAAGCGTTTAGATTTAAGCAGTAGTAAGTGTGGGTGCTCTGCAAGGGACTGGCTCTCGCAGTCATCTGCAGAGCTCACAGAGACTTTTTAAGACTGCAGGATGCTCCGCAAAAGCAGTGGGAGTTTCCGTTGGTGTAACTCCTCTGGTAATCAGCTGCCTCCAAAGAAAAAACATTCATTATATTTGACTCAGTAGCCCCACTCAGGCTCTCAATGTATCCCAAGAAGAGAAGTCAATGGAAAGAAAAGCTATATAAATAAAAGATGTTCATTTTGGGGTTGTCAACAACAGGAAAATGAGTAATTCCTCTAACAGAGAAATGGTCAATCTGATAATGGATGACCCCACATCAAGGATCTTAATTAAAAGGCCATAGTGAGAATGGCATTAGGAAGAAGATGGTGTCATATGGCTGTGACAGTACAAGTGGGAAGAAAGGACAGAATGTGAATTGTTACGTGATTTGTCACTGCCATGCACACATACCCTGGGAGAGGCCAAGGGCCAGGAAAGATACAGGACAGTGGAAATAATGGCTGAGCAACGTTGCAGGCATAGCGGTGAGTATTTGCTTTTAATAATATCCACACAATTTAAAAATCAGACCATTGATTTAGAATATTAGCTAGAGACCCATAATTCTGATTTATGTTGAAGAATGGGCTCAATCCCATTTGTACTGTGTGATCCACAGAGCTCCTTATTCTATCAGCAACCCTGACCTTGGTCCCAGCTTCAGTATAGGGGGTAGGCCCCTACTCAGGCTGCCTGCTGGTTGCTTACTTTGCCACAGATGATGGGAGAGGAATTGTGTGTTGCTATAACCTGATTTTCTGCCTTTTGGGAATGGCCACTCTTCTTTAAGATCTTCCCGGAGCCTACCTGGTTTTATGGCCAGCTCAGACCCCTTCAACTATCCTCATACCTGGGCTACGTTTTCTGTGACCAGTCTAGCCTATGAGGATGTCATGCATATGTACATGGGGTCACTCATTAAGATCACATCCGGGCCAAGTGCTGTGGTTCACGCCTGTAATCCAGCACTTTGGGAGGCCAAGGCGGGTGAATCACTTGAAAACAGGAGTTCAAGACCAGGCTGGGAAACATGGCGAAACCCCATCTCTTCTAAAACTAGAAAAATTAGCTGGGTGTGGTGATGTATGCCTGTAATCCCAGCTACTCGGTAGGCTGAGGCATGCAAATTGCTTGAACCTGGGAGGTGGAGGTTGTTGTGAGCTGAAATCTCATCACTGCACTCCAGTATAGGTGACAGAGCAAGACTGTCTCAAAAAAAAAATCCCATTCTGAACCACTTCATTCTTTTTTTGGATTTCTTGAATGACTTCATATGCTATCTCTTCAAATATTCTTTCCCTCTCTTTGGAAGATAGGAGTCCTGTCCAAATCTCTTTTCCCCCCACCATGGAACACAGGTAGGCTGTCTGTTGGCCAGAGTCAATTACAACCACCTGGTCTATCTGAAAGCCATGGCTGAAGTCATCCAGTCATGAAACCAGTCAGCAAGGGCAGTCTGTTGAGGTCTCTGCCTTTTCATCTTGAAACCAGCTATCCATTCTACCCGTCCATCCTTCTGCCAGTCAGTGAGCAGAGCAGGACTTTGTGATGGGGTTATTAGATTGCCAGACATTTGAGACCATCTTAAACCTACAGATGAGTTTACTGATGTCAACATTACCAGGACAATGACAACTACATCACTCTGTTATTTTGTTTTCTTATTTGCTAAAGTTTCTGAACTTTGTCCATTACACCTTTACAGTAAAGGAAAACACTGGTCTGGGGAGAGGGATACCTATTTTTTTGTGGGAAACTAGGCTGTATTGCTGAAAGCCAGCCAGCCCTGATAAATAGGACAGAGAGCAAGTGAGAAGGGAGACTCTTTGGGAAGAGCAGTAAATATCAAATGGTTTCACACTTTGTCCATGATCCCTTTGACAGTCTAGAAGTGTAATCATGCAGCAGGTAGGTCACTGGGGATGGTGGCTACCATCAGCAGCAACTCAACACCACAGTACAAAGGATCTTAGGGAAATCCTCCTGTTAAGACAAAGCCACAAACCCTCATTCTTTCCTTTTTGAGTAATATTGAAACAAGTGAAAATATTGGGAGGGTTGTTGAAAGTATGGCATCAAAATGGCAGCATCTAAATGACATGCCCATTCAGGGGATGGTCTACTGTCAGGTGAGCTACTAGAAACCCACTGGCTTGAGCCCCGGAGCAGTCCTTTGGGACCAAAGGGCAGAGCTCAGCCACGCCAAGCCCCTACTCCTAGATCTTCAGGCTCAGCCAAGCTGTTTGAGCCGGAGAGAATAGTGAGCAAAGCCTGTTCCACAACCCCATCCCATTAGCCCAGGGGTCTCACCGGCAGCTCAGCACCTCCTCTGGCTTCAAAATCCTCATGGTTTCCATCTTGGGCTCAGTGCCTTTCTCCATGAGGGTCTTTAGCTTGCGTTCATAAGCCACGTCAGGCATCTTGGTGGACCAGTCTCTCAGGAAGGTTGACCTCCGGCTGCTAAAGGTACTTTCCTGTAACATGGGATCGAAGACAATGCTTGGTCGACCGAATGGGTTTGGCCTCTGACTGGACTCTGGGGCGATTCCATCCTTGATGTCTAGCTCTGAAATTGGACAGATGTCATCAAAGAGTTAGATTGTGGGAGACGCGAGATTTGGGGTAGGCAGGAAGGGGATGAGGGTGGAGGAATGCATGGGCTTCAAACAATACCTGTTCTGAGATATGAGGTCTTTGCATAGCTTCCACAGGTTCTCTCCACTCGCCTCCCTCCACCCCACCTTTTTTTTAAGATGGTCCTCACAGGCTAGAGCTCAGTGGCACAATCACAGGTCACTGCAGCCTCTATCTTGCAGGCTCAAGTGATCCTCCTGCTTCTCCCTCTGAGTAGCTGGGCCCATAGGCACATGACACCACCCCTGATTAATTTTTATAGTTTTGTAGAGATAGGGTTTTGCCATATTGCCCAGGCTGGTCTTGAATTTCTGGGCTTAAATGATTCACCTGCCTCGGCCTTCCAAAGTGGTGAGATTACAGGCGTGAGCCACTGCACCGAAACCAGGTTCTCCTTCACTTGTTCAATCCTTCCCCCGACTCTCCTTTCTCCCTGCCCTGTTTCCACTCCCTTCCTTTCAATCTCTTCTCCTCATTCTCCCCAAAGGGAGTTCCCCTAAATGGGATGAGCCTAGAGGAGGTAGCCTAGAGGACAGCTTCTGATATGTCAGGGAAGGTATCAGAAGAGAAAAGCTTTGAGCTGGGTTTGAAAGGGCGAATAGTTGATCAGTTAGAAAAGGAAGGAAAGAATCACAGGCAGAGGAACAGAATGTGTAAAGGCCACAGATACATGAAATGAACTGGTGTGTGTCTGATATGGCCCAAATTGGGTTTTGAACCAAATAAAGTATTGTTGGACTCGCAGGTTGTCCAACATTTTGGCTTCCCTGGGCCACACTGGAAGAAGAATTTTCTTGGGCCACACATAAAATACACTAATACTAATGATAGCTGATGAGCTAAAGAAAAAAACAATCAAAATAAAAATCTCACGATATCTTAAGAAAGTTTACAAATTTCTGTTGGGCTGCATTCAAATCTGTCCTGGGTCCCATGTAGCCAGCCTGCAGGTTGGACTGGGACTTGGACACCTTAATGTTTTCTTCCTGCTAAATTTTCTTCTAAGTATTTTATGTATTTTTACTCAGGAGAATGGAATATTTTCTACTCATTTCCATTTCTAACTTGTATGACAAGTATAGAGAGAAAAGTCTACTGTTTTTTAAAAACTGTATTTGTCAGCTGGGCATGCTGGCTCATGTCTATAATCCCAGCACTTTGAGAGGCTGTGGTGGGAGGATTGCTTGAGCCTGGGAGGTAAAGGCTGTGGTGAACTGTGATCACACCACTGCACTCCAGCCTGGGTGACAGAGCGAGACCCGGTCTCAAAAACAACAAAAAAAACCCCAAAACTATATTTGTTTAGTATACCAACAACCACAGTACATTTTATTACTTTTTAACTAGAATTTCATGAGTTTTGCAGATGTGCATTCATATCAGGGGAAAAATGAAAGTATTTTTCCTCCAATATGTATCAAAATTATCAAAATTATATATTCTTCTTAGTATATATTACATTTGACAGACCCTCTAAGACGTTGCCAATAATGATGATAGGGATTATGCTTCATTTTGTTCCTGATTTTAATTTAAGTAAATTTGGCATTGCATTATTTAGAATGATATTTGCCCCTAGTTGGGGTGTATGTTTTATAATATTTTAGTGGTTTTATCCCTGGTTAACATAGAGTTTTTACTGGTGATAATTGCTTGATTCTATTCATTGTTTGTGTGTGTGTGTGTGTGTGTGTGTGTGTTTTGCTACCTTCTGATATAATCATGTTTTTTTCCTTTAATATGTTGATGTAATAAATTGTGTTCTTCAATATCCCAATAATGAACCACTTCTCACCTGTTGTAATAAAGCCCACTTGTTTGTGGTGGAATTCATTTCAGACATTGTCCATTTGATGTATTTTCATACATTCAGTATGTTTGCTAAAAATTTTTAGATTTTTGCATCTATTATTGTGGGATTGGCCAACCTTTCTAGTATAAGTTTTAATATTAAAGCTCTACATTAATTTAATAGCTTGTTAAATTAATGCAGAAATGTCTATATTTTATACAGTCTGTAATAGTTGAAATAACGTTAGGATTATTTGTTCATTAAATATTAGAATCTCGCATGAAAACATTTGCCTTAGTGCCATTTTTTTGTGGGAAAATGTTATTTTTCAACCTTCACTGCAGAAATTATTCAATTTTTCTGCTCTTTATTGAGCCAATTTTGATAACATACAGTGTAATAGGAAATCATCCATTTCCTTTAGGCTTTAAAATGTATTGTCTAGAGGCATAGTATTCTATTGTAATTCTTTTATTTTCTTTGTATCCTTTCTTATATTAAATCTTGTATATTTTTACTCTTCTTTTTAACAAGGCTTATGATAACTTCATGGCAATTGCTTTCATGTCACTTGCTTTTTCAAAAAGCTAGCTTTTTATTTAGCCTTTTAACTACTTTTGATCTTGATATTATTTATGAATCCCAGCCAGTATTTAATATAATAATTTTTTCTTTTTCACAAAAATTCTTTCTTCTACTTATTAAATTAATACAAGTGTTGGCAATTTCTTTTATTATTTGTTTTATAAAGCCTTACTACTTTTAGTTTTTACTGTACATTTTCTTCTGAGTGTATATTTTACCTATGTCTCATAGTTTTTGGTATGAAACAGACTGATTTCATTAGTTTTTTTTTTTTTATACAAGAGCAATTTGAATGTGTGTTTTTATTTCCAATTTTTAAAGTTGAGGGTTATTTCTAATAATTGATTTAGGATGGTGTAGGTGGCCCTAAAATCTTTACTTTTTTGAATATTAAAATTTTTTTGTGATTAAGCACACAGGTGATTTTTGTAAATATTGTTTGGATATATAAAAATATGTGTTCTCTATTCAGATGTAAAGTTATGGTTTGTTAATTGCATTGTTACATTCTTCATGTATTTCCTGTTATTGTCTATGTGATCTTCTATTTGGCTCTGAACAAAATGTATTAAAATTTACCCCTATAGTGGGGAGAGTGGGAGGGAGATGTGGGTTGGAGGGCTACCTATTAGGTACTATGCTGTATTAGCCTGTTCTCATGCTGCTAATAAAGATGTACTCCAGACTCGGTAACTTATAAAGAATAGAAGTTTAATTGACCCACAGTTCCACATGGCTGGGGAGGCCTCAGAATCATGGTGGAAGAGCATGGGACGTCTTACATGACAGCAGGCAAGAAGAACTTGTTCAGGGGAACTCCCATTCATAAAACTATCAGATCTCATGAGACTTATTCACTATCACGAGAATGGCACAGGAAAGGCTTGCCCCCATGATTCAATTACCTCCCAGAGGTTTCTCCCACAACATGTGGGAACTGTGGGAGCTACAATTCAAGATGAGATTTGGGTGGTGACACAGCCAAACCGTATCATATGCTCACTACCTGGGTGATAGGATCATTTATACACCAGGCGTCAGTGACACAGAATTTGCGCATGTAACAAACCTACACATGTACCCCTAGAACCTAAAAGTAAAAAAAAGACCCAAAATAAAATAAAAATTACCACTATAACTTTATCTTTAATAGGTTCTCCCTGCATTTCTAAATGTTTTGTTTTATTTATTTAGTTACTACATTTTTAGTGCATGTAGGTTTATGGTTATTACTTATTCTCTTTGACATTTAGAAGCATGTCCCTCTTTTACCCTATGTGTTTCTTTTAGCCCCTCTTCTAACTCTTCTACTTGCATTTCCTTGTTGTTTCTTTCCTTTTCCTTTTGTTGTCAACCTTTCTATCTCACTTGGTTTTAAACCTGTATCTAGATTTTGATTTTAAATTACTTCCTAATATGTAATTTATGTATATAAATTACTTCCTAATATGTTCTGTCCTAGATAATTTTCTGTAGATGAAGAAACGCATGGCTGATAAAAATCTCTAAATATTCCTGAATCTACAAATAGAATTCATTCATCTGATAGTGACTGATGTGAGTTGGGGCCAGTATTATGGGGGTCTTTATTCTTAGTAATACATTTGTGCTATTCCACTTCAGGTTGATGTCAGCCTGATTGTTTTCTCCTTGTAAGTAAATTATTCTGTCTGTAATCTTGTAAGATTTAATCAACAAAGTTCAGGAATTTTATCAGGATATTCCTAGTGGGAATGAGTCTAGACCTGCTACAATTACATAAATGCAGAGACAGGAGCCTGAGGAGTGGCTGCGACCTGCCCAAGGTCTCACGGTGAGTTAGTGGCTGAATTAGGACTCTTTACGGCACACGGTGCTCCGGCACGGTAGCTGGTTCCTGACAGGGCGATAGGGTCAGGTGGCCTCAGCAGTCCCTGTTTGTGTGTAGAGAAAATTGGCACTATGCTCTGGGAGGATCGTGAGCTGCACAGTCTCTCTGATACAAATAAGGAAATTCCTTGGAGAATGGGCAATCACCTTTCCTGAAACATCTGATCCTTTTCTGTGCAAGCTGGGTCTCATGCAGGAAAGAGCAGTAGCAATATGAAAGGTAATGACAATTACATAATTAGCTAACATGTGTTGAGTGACTCACATACCAGGCAGTGTTCAAGGGCTTTCTGGCAGTGGGGACCCTTTAGTCCCACAACGACATCATATCCATTTGACAAAGGAGAACATTGAGGATCAGAGAGATTAGGTAATGTGCTCAAAATGGCACAGATAATTAGTGGTGAACCCAGGACATGAGCCGACATCGTCAGAGCCTTTTTCTGGAAGCCTGTCCTGGCCACTCTTTTGGACAAAAACGACCCACATTCCTGGGTTTATGGCTGAAGAGACAGGTTATATTTCTAGTGAGCCATGTCTGGGATACCAGCAGCTTGCCCTGTGCTCTTGGAAACAAAAGCAGCTATGGCCTTCTAGCCCTGTGCATTAGGAATGTGCCCTTGGCCTGGCATTACAGAATATCCTCGACATAGGTGCCCAGGGAGGGAATTTCCTTTCCCAGTCTAGCCACTCTGAGGCTTTGCCAAGATTTACTTTGGCAAAGTGTTACAGTTGTTTTCCCAGGATCTTTTCCTGGCTCATAGCCAGAGAAACCTTTCTAAAATTTAAATCCAACTTGGTAATTTCCTTCTTAAAACTGTTCAGTGACTTGCTATTGCATTCAATAAGGCTTATGTTTTAGAAAGGCCAATCTGAGTCTTCTGCTTTTAGCCAAGATGGGGTAGCAGGGTTTGAATTTATCCTTCCACCTTAAGCAATTAAAAAGCTGGGCATTTCCTATGAAATAGCAGTTTGTAGACACTGGACAGCATGCAATGCAGGGCAGTGATCCTTGAGTGAGGGGGAAGAAATTAGGGGATCCCATGACTGCCGCAGTCTTCAGCTGGAAGATGCCTCCAGGTTGCAGCATGGGATTGTGAGGAAGCCTAGACGGAGCCTGGCAGTCCCTTTGAGTTGGGGAGAGACAGCAGATAATTTAGGTAAACCACAGCAGCTGGAATAACAGGAAAGACTGCACCAAGAACTGCAGAGTTATGCAAAGACTCCTCTCAGCTGAGGACTAATCAGCACAAGCTGGAAAGGGAACTACCCCGATGAAAGATTTGGTAGACAAGAACACTGCAACAGCTAGTGTAACATACTCTGTTATGTTCACCAAGGCAGGGGCACATTAAGAAGAGACACAGAAGTTTTGAAATGACTCAAATTGAAGTTCTAGAGATGAAAGTGACAATATTTGTAATAAAAATTCTATTGGATGGGATTAACAGCAGATTAGGTATTGGAGAAGAAAAGATTACTGGACTTGAAGGTATAGCACCAGAAACTATATGATATGAAACACAAAGAGAAAATGAGAAAACACTGAAAGATGAAGAAAAACACAAGACGAATTGTGAGACTTTACATATGTGTAATTGAGGTGCCTGAAAGAGACGGAAGAGAAAGGAGGAATGATAAAATTTTTTTGAAGAAACAATGGACAAAAGTTTTCCAAATTTGATGAAAATTATAAACCAAGAATTTCAACAAATCCCAAACACAAACACAAGAAACATGAAGCAAATGACACTAACGCACATCATAAGCTCCTTTCTTAAAAGAAAATCTTAGAAACCAGAGGAAAAAGATACATTACAGAAGAACAAAAGTTAGGAAGAGAGCCAGTTTCCCATTGCAAACAAGCTAGAGGACAGTAGAGCAACCTTTAAAGTATTGGAAGAAGAAAGGCTGACAATCTAAAATTCTACACTCAGCAAAATTGTCTCTCAGAAACAAAAGTGAAATAAAACACCTTTCCGGATATACAAAAGCTATATGAATTGATTACCAACAAATACATACTGCAAGATATGTTAAAGGAAGATCTTCAGGTAGAAGGAAAATTACTCCAGACAGAAATCTGGATCTATGCACAGGAAAGATAAGCACTGGAAATGTTAAATGTGTGAGTAAATGCAAAAATCTCTTGAAAACGTAATTGTTTAGAGTAAAAATAATAACACTTGTGGGGTTTATAATATGGAAAGATATAATGTGTAGCAACAACAGCATGTAGACGAGGAGAGGAGAAATGGAAGTATACTCTTGTAAGATTCCTATGCTTTACATAAAGTGAATATAGACTGTGCTAGTTTACAGATGTATACTATACACCATAACAGAATCAATAAAATAATTTTTTTTTGAGATGGGATCTTGCTCTGTTGCCCAGGCTCGAATGCAGTGGCACAATCTCTGCTCACTGCAACTTCTACCTCCCCGGTTCAAGTAATTGTCCTGCCTCAGCCTCCTAAGTAACTGGAATTACAGGTGTGCACCACCATGCCTGGCTAATTTTTGTACATATATAATTTTTTTAGACAGAGTCTTTCTCTGTTGCCCAGGCTGGAGTGCAATGGCACAATCTCGGCTCACTGCAACCCTCTGCCTCCCAGGTTTAAGTGATTTTCCTGCCTCAGTCTCCTGTAGCTGGGACTACAGGCATGCACCACCATGCCTGGCTAATTTTTGTATTTTTAGTAGCGTCTTGCCATGTCGACCAGGCTGGTCTCACTCGTAAACTCAGTTGATCTGCCCACTTCGGTCTCCCAAAGTGCTAGGATTACAAGTGTGAGCCACCGCACTGGGCCACAACAAAGAGTTACAACTAGGAAGCTAATGAAGGAGATGAAATGGAATAATAAACAATATTTGGTTTACAAGAGGGCAGAAAAAGAAGAATGAGAAAGCAAAGAATGGATGGAACAAGTCAGAAACATATGCGAAGATGGTACATTTAAACCCAACCATTTCATACTCACATTCAGTGTAAATGCTCTAAACATCTTAATTAGAAAGATGCAATTGTCAGACTGAATGGGGGATAAAAAAGCAAGACCCAATCATATGTTACCTACAAGAAGTTCACTTTTTAATTTTTATTTCTCCAGTTTTATTTAGTATAATTGAAAAACAAAATTGTATATATTTAAGATGTACAATGTGATGATTTGATATACATATATATTGTGAAATGATGTACATAACATGTTCGTTAACACATTAATCACCTCACATAGTTACGTCTGTGCGTGTATGCATAGTGAAAACACTTAAGACCTGCTCACTGAGCAAATTGCAAGTATACTCTAGTCACCATGCTGTACATTAGGTCTCTAGATCTTATAACTGAAAGTTTGTATCTTGTAACCAATATTTCTCAATTTCCTCCACCCTAGCCCCTGACAACTACCACTCTACTCTATATCTATGAGTTTAACTTTTTAGATTCTGCATATGTGAGCACTTATGGCATTTGTCTTTCTCTGTCTGGCTTATTTCACTCAGTATAATATCTTCTGGTTTCATCCATGTTATTGCAAATGGCAGAATTTCCTTCTTTTTTTATATAATATAAATGTTTAATAATATTTCATCATTTGTGTTTACATACATATATATATACATACACAGCACACACACATATGTGTATATATGTTTACACACACAACATTTTCTTTATGCATTCCTTCATCAACCAACACTTAGGTTGTTCTCATGTATTGGCAATTGTGAATAATCCTGCAGTGAACACGGGAGTGCAGCTATCTCTTTGAGGCATCTTTGTTTCCTTCAGATATATACTCAGAAGTGTGATTTCTGCATATAATAGCCCTATTTTTAAAATTACATTCCACCTTTCCAAATTACATTCCCACCAACAGTGTACAACAGTTCCCTTTTCTCCACATCGTAGCCAATGCTTGTTATTGCTTGTCTTTTTGATAGTAGCTATTCTAACAGAAGTGGGGTGGTATCTTACTTTGGTTTTTATTTGCATTTCCTTAGTGATTGCTGATGTTGAGCATCTTTTAATGTACCTGTTGGCCATTTCCATGTTTTCTTTAGAGAAATGTCCTTTTAGGTTCTTTTGCTATTAAGTCTTATGAATTCCTTGTATATTTTGAATATACATCTTGGATAGATGGTTTCCAACTATTTTCTCCTATTCCATAAGTTGCCCTTTTGTTTATTTCCTTTGCTGCGCAATAGCTTTTCAATTTGATAGAGTCCATTTGTTAATTTTTGCTCCTATTGATTGTGCTTTCAGGGTCACATCCTAAAAGTCGTTGCCAATACCAATGTCAAAGAGTTTTTCCCCATGTTTTCTTACAGAAGTTTCAGGATTTCAGGTCTTTCATTTAAGTCTTTAATCTACTGAGAGCTAGTTTTTGTAAGTGGTGTACGATAGAGGTTCAATTCCATTCTTCTGCATGTAGCTATTCAGTTTTCTAAGCACCATTTATTCAAGAGACTGTCCTTTCCCCACTGTGAATTCTTGGCACCCTTGTCAA